ATATAATTTATATGATATAATATAACATACATAATTTATATGATTTATATATAATTTGGTCTTGATTTGATTATATATGGTATATATAGTATATCATATGAATTAATATCAAGTAGTTTTTAACTTTTTTAAATTTTATATTTACTATGTTAATTTTTAAAACAAAATTGCCATAAAGTCAATATATATTATAAAAGTTTATATAAATAAGTATACAAATCACATATAAACATATAAATGGTAAACACACATTTAATTTAATTAACACTTACCATCAATATAAAAAAGATAATGGAACTAAAAACATTAGATCAGTAAATTAAAGGCTCTGTTCACCACAATACAACACTTACTGAATCTGTAAGACTCAGGACAACAAAGGTATTGCAGTTTGGGGCAAGCATGGACAAATAAATACAGATAGACAGAAAGGTGCGGAATGATGGAATTTCTCTTAAACTTCTGGCAAATGGACTCCGGTAATTCCCCAGGATCACGCCTATGAGAACCAAAGGAGGCGGCGAGTGCTCCCCACCAAAGTGCCCTCCTTCAACAGCTGTACTGTGGATGCCTGGCCTCTGCGCCTCCGCATGGAAACTGCTCCAAATTCCACAGCTTCACGGCTGAATTTTCAACATTACAAAATCCCATCAGACCTGATGACAGGTTGCTGGACTAAATCACCATTTTAATTAACCACATTCTCTACACATATTTTCCAATCTGTCCATAACTATTCATGTCATTTTATAAAGCACTTATTCCCTTAGATCTTTTCAGAGATCACTTTGCTGTTTCAAAGAGTTGAGATGCCTTCATTTTAGGCAGTTTTACTTTTAATTAACTATTCAGAAGGCAATTCTTTTATTCGGTTGAAACCCCTGTCTGCTTTTTCTCCAAAGCCTTCTAAGATACCCTCTTGCGAGCCTGAATTGGCCTGGGAAGCAGCTGGCCCAGGTCCAAGCCACCTCACCAACATTATTTCCATTCTACCAACCATGCCTCAGGGCATGGGAAAAAAGCTCTATTTTATTCCGCCAAGTTTGGAATAGATGAAAAACATTTCCAAAAGTCTTGACTTATGTTTCTTCTATTAGAAAGGCAAAAAGAGACGGAGACAATGGGAGGGGAAGACGATGTTACGATTAAGCCTCACGAGACAGGCAATTGCATCCAGGTCCACTGCGGGACTGTTGGACACATGGCATTGTGTTAAGTGCTGTTTCTCAGCCCTCATCCCCAAAAAAAGAGAAAAAGAAGAATAAAAATGAAATCTGTTTGCCCCCTGTGATCCCCCAAACACCAGTCATTTAAACAGGGCCCAGCGCGTTGCTCATCAGGTTATTCGGGGCACTTGAGCTCTGCCTGGGCTGGGAGCCTGCAGAAAAGGGTCTTAGGATCCAGGCCAGAGAAGGGAAGAGGGGAGTGAACACATGAGCTAACCTGGCCGGCACTGTCGTCTTGCTGTACCCCTATGTCCTGGCTCTAGCATGGGGCCCCTCTCCTCCAAAGTCCTCCCCGTCGCGGGGTCCCTGATCAAGGAGCTCCTCTGGGCCTGGACATCCTCTGCGCAAAGCGCAGCTCCTCACAGCACCTGCTGAGCTGACTCCCAGGGACACAGCATCAGCTCTTGGAAGAGTCCTTCCCTTTACGGCCCAGAGGGAGGGCTGTGCACAGCACCGCATCAGTTCCCATCATGGACACACTCCTACTCTTCACCTTTCCCCCTTTGCCCCTTCTCCACCCTCCAGGGTGCCATGGCCCATGCTGGCCCCCCAGGCTGCACTGTCTGTCCTGGGTAGGATCTGGGGGTACTTGGGGTGTGTGTCATTGTTTGAAGCCTTTGGGACCTCAGTGAACACTCAGAGAGCTCCGTTTTCCTATCCTGTTACATTTACTTATAAGAAAGTACTGTTCTCTGTCCTAAAGTCACCCAGACACTGTTAGCTACTAGACTATGTCGGAGTGATCTGACAGCAGCGCCTCTTCATGCCACTCACTTGGCATCTCTCGTTTATTGTCTTGTACAGTTAGGAGACTTTCCAACTGAGATCACTGTACTATAGTATAAAGCACACTGGATTTGAGTCAGAGACGACCTGTGTTTCCATCCTAGCTTGGAAGGCTGCTTTCTGAGCAAGGGCTCTGATCTCCAATTTCTTCATCTGCAAACTGGATGTAACAATGCGTTCCTCATGGGGTTTTGGTGGGAACGGAAGATGATGATGCATGGAAAAGCATTCTGTATCTCAGGCTGAAAACCTACACTGTCAGGCACCATACAGCGCACCACCATCCCAGTGCACTGTCACACCGGCCATCCAGATAGGTATCTGGATGGCTATTTTATAACAGTGCTGAGGCTCCAATAAATGAATGAATTTTCCAGGAATGACATTCAGACTGATCTAATTCAAGAGTCATATTTTTCCCACAATATTTACACTGTCAATCAAGACGGAGAAAGGACTGAGAAGCCCAAGAGCCACCATGAGGGTCTGTCCTTAAAGATCAGTTCCAGGGGCTGTGCATCTTGGAGACAGCAGGGACTGTCCTGTCTCCCTTTGTCCCCCCTGCCACACTGTGGCCTTCTGGAAGAAAGGAGGGTCCTGGGAGAAGTCCCACGCCCTCTCCTGCTCGCCAGGGTCTCTTTACCCAAATCTGTCCAGAACGTGGTCAAATGTGCGACAGCTCTTTAGAGTCAACTATGAAAATTGAGATGTAATACACAGCTGCATGTATTTAATTCCTCAAAAGGAGATTACAATTTGCTTTTCCTTTCTCATTTATTTCATTCAACCAACAGAAGTCAGAATGCCCTTACTGATGAGGTGTCAGGCAAGAATCCATTTTTCAAATGTACAGGCTGAAGAAATAAGTAGGAAAGGCTTGGCAGACTGACTGCCACACAGTAGCATGGGCACAAGAAGCCACTCTGGGATTTTCCTGCCAAGAAGCTTTTGAGTGAAATTTCTCTACCCATGAAAAATCATTAGCACTGACACCGTGGGGATAATCAATTCTCATTCTTATGGCTAAGGCAGAAATTCTCCCACGAATGTGCTTCTGGAAAATTCTTCTCACACATACTGATCATAGACCCCGATCTACTAAATAATATTAGCTAATAATTACAGTAACTAATAATTATAACTGAAATCCTGATTAATATTAACAGTAACTAATGATAAAAGTAACAATTATAGTAGCAACTAATATTAACTAATAGTAGCTAGTAAGTATAAATAACATTCACTAATCATTAGAACATTTCCTGAGTGCTGATAAACACTTGACACCATGCGGGGCACCGAAGCACGTCATTTCATCAGTCCTCATGACAACACTATGAGGTAGGCACTATTCTTATCCTCATTTTACAGACAAGGAAATTGAGGCTTAACAAGGTGAAATAACTTTCCCAAGGTCACACAGTTACACATGGCACTGAAACACTTGCTTAGGAAACCAAAATTAACTTGGCTTTTCCAAGACCCTGGGATGAACGTTGCGTCTCCAGGTCATCCGAAGCTAACTAAATTATGAGCCCAAACTTCAAGAACACAAGACATCAAATAAACCTTAAAAATCCACTAACTTATTTATTGTCTTCTGAAGAATATGTAGACCAGGTCTACAGACTACATAGAGGACTGGCAGGCAAGAGGTAAAGTTTTCAGCAATGAGCATCAACAACATATTTAAAGCCCACCAAAGCCATTTTCCTCCCAAAAAATATTTTTTATCCAAATAGCCAAAAAATGTACTTCTTCTAGATCAATTGAAAGTTTCAGCAGTCATCAATAGCCACAAAGGATTTTACAGAGTTTCACATTTGGAGTGGGTCCTCATCTTTTTCGGTTAACTTGTTCTAGAGATCACTAAAACAATCGCTGATCAGTTGTGCTTCGCAGAAGGCACAGCCAAGATATTTTCTCTTGTTTTCTTCTCACCCTCTCCGGAAACCTCTTGAACTTTTGGGGCTGGGAGTGGTGGCACTCAGCGGCTGCCTTTGGGGCTGTCACCCCAGCCAATGGCTTACTCTGGGTACCATCTCTGGCAGAGTGGCTGCTGAAATCCGAGCAGAAACCTGAGATCCTCCAGAAACTAGATATAAAAGGAAACAGCCGCCTTGCTCGTCTCTAACTCTTGGGTTTAATAAAACTGTTTTTTCTCTCCACAGCCTAACTGCTGCTAAAATGCTGGCCGAAATATCAGTCCCCGACAGACAGACACTATGTGTTCAACCCTAAAATCAAAGTCTTACCCGTTTCCAAAGAGAAAAGTGTCACTTCATCACCCCTATTTCTTATGGCAGGTCTAGCCTGCACAGAATGAAGGCCAGAATTGAAGAGGTGGATGGTCTCAAGAAAATTAGACAAAGCACTGTTACGGAGGTCGGCGTTTAGCTCTTATTTTGGGGCTGTCTGAATGCCTGGAGTGTTTATAACTGTGGCCTGAGAGACGTTTGCTCTGGTCACTGTGACATCACTTTCCTCAAACAATATATTACACATGCTAACTTTACACTTTCAGTATGGTTACATCATTACATGGCATATACAAGTGATTACACCCCGGAGTCATTTTAGCAATCTGGTTCATCATCCGCTCCAAACAGTGTTACACAAAGTGTCGTTTATTTGCAATTTTAAATTAGTTTAAGCCCTGCAGAATGAATGGCAGAAACACACACAAAAAAGTCCCTGATTCTATGATATTCACAAGGCAACACAACACAAATCACATGTTAAAAACTCTAGCGTCAAGCACGCCTCCTTCCTCGAATCCCTTTTCACACCCAACCATCCAGATTACACCGTTTCCATGCTTTTTCTACACTATGAAATCAAATGCAGAAAGCAAAGGGCGCACATACTTATTGCAGAGCCATAGCTGACTACACGCGAAAAAGAAACTGAAGGCCAACGTTGGCCATACTTCCAACCCTGAGTTATTCAGAAAAGAGTATAGGAAGAAAGAGTCCACCAGACACCTACCGCTATGGACCCAGAAGATGTAGCAACAAACACTTTGATAACCATTTCGACAGTTGGAAAGAGGACTCCCCCCAACACACCCCTGTTAGGGAATGCGCTGCTAGACAAATCCTGACAGTGACACGGGCGAGCAAGTGCCAGGTCGGGGCTGGCGGCAGCCCAGGGCTCCACTGAGCTCCGGCCCTCCCGCTCCAACTTAAGAGGCTCTGTCTCTCCAAGGAGCAGCAGAGGCATCTTGGGCTCCCCCCTCCATTGGCCCAGGAATATTTTGGGATCTGTCAGGAAAATATTTGATTGGCTGATAAAAGCAGCCACTGGACCATTTCCCTATCACTTTAAATGCCGGACAACAGTCCGTAAAAGGCCAGGCTGTGCTGTGCACCAATCGGAGACCTGTGCAGAGATGCCTTGGGGCAAAGGGAGGTGGAGCCCCGTTAAGAGAACAGCAGGAGGCGAAAGAAGTGAGGGAGGAGCTCTTGGGAACTGGAAAAGCCCAGAAAACACCACCTCAGTCTAGGAGGAGGCTGGGTTTACGGGGCTTTTGGCAAACAAATAAACTGGAAGGGTCAGAATAGCCACAGAGGCCTTTAAGTCAAGAGCAACGTCTTTGTTTTCTTTTTTCCTGGCAGATTAAAAAAAAATTTTTTTTAAGTAAACTGTCATACAATAGAAATCCCTTTAGGAGTGGCGTGTTTCCAGTGTGCTCTCTTTCCCACCTGTTTCTCCTAAAGAACAGAAACGGACTAGCCATGGGCCATCTAAAGTTTCACTGACATCCAGGGAGGCAGGGAAACAGCTACTGGCTTGTCAATACTCACGACTGCAACAAGCCAATTGTCTCATTATTTTATTTACTTGTCACTGACTTGAAGTTTATTAACTGTTTTAAAGTCCTTGGGGAAAAAAAACTAAATAATCTGTTTATAATAGGCTCTTTGTTTATATAGGTACTTTGTGTTTATACATACATATACATAAACACACACACATATGTATTATATAAACACACACACTATATATTTATTTTTATGTGTGTGTGTGTGTGTGTGTGTGTGTGTGTGTTTATACATTTTAATAGGAACTCTGAATTGTGTTAAAAGTTAGAGAAGGGCCAGGGGCGGTGTCTCACACCTGTAATCCCAACACCTTGGGAGGTCAAGGCAGGAAGATTGCTTGAACCCAGAAGTTCAAGACCAGTCTGGGTAACATAGTGAAGTGCAATTTTACCAACAACAACAACAACAAAAAGAAACCCAGCCAGGCGTGTTGGCAGGCGCCTGTATCTGTATTTCCAGCGACTTGGAAGGCTGAGGTGGAAGGATCGCTGAGCCCTGTAGCCAGGAGTTTGAGGCTGCAGTGAGCTACGATCGCACCCACTGCACTCATCTGGGTGACAGAACAAGATCTCATCTCTAAAACAAAACCAACTCAAACAAACAAATTAAAGGAATACAAAATCTAGCAAAGAAGCCCAAATGCTAGCTACGCAAATTCTTCTGGTAGGTTTCAAAATCAAGATCAAGGGCATTAGGGACAAAGGATTAGTTTCTCAAGAAGCACTTGGGGGATATTTAGCTCTCTTAGCTAACTGAGTCTCTTACTGTCTCTCTCTCTGTCTGTTCTCCGGCTCCCTTTTTGAAATCCCCTGCTGCTCATCATGGATTGGGTGGCACCGACGTTCTGAGCAGAGAGGAATCTCCCAGGCTTCTGTACTCCCTCTTCACCTGAGTCCCAGAGCCCCGGAGGTATGTTTCCCCCGGCCTCAGGTAGGTGACTGCAATGAGAAAAGACAATCCAGTCCCCGGAATATCCCAGTTCCCAGAATATAACTTAAATGCCTCTCCATCACAATGAATGATTGAGGTGACCACCAAAATTTAACTTTTGGCTTCAACATGCAAAGTTAGCCGCTCCAAAAATAAAGTCCTTAATGAAGATGATTAATGGTTCCTCAAATTTAAGTCAGTAGAATTATAAATTTTATTTTAAAGCACACCAAGGATTACAGATCAGTTTAATTTTTCTTTTCTGCATTTTCAAAATTTCTACAGCATGTATTATTTTTTCATACAATTATATATTTTCACACCTTAAAGTCTGCCACATAAGCATGCCATATTTCTCCAATATTCTTGAAGAAAGTGGGGGCATATTTTCTAATGATTTTGTAAGTTAGTAACATAAACCATAGCTAGATTATCATATGCTCTAGAGGATACGCATCTCTTGATCATATCAGGTGAAAACTGCCCTCAATAATGACACCTCCTCCATCTGCAAACCCTGGGGAGAAATTAATTTCCTACTGAAATAACAGCTAACAATTTGTAGGTGTTGTCCACGTGCCAGATCTGCTCTAGGTGCTTTGCATAAACCACTCCCTTAACCTGTACAAGAACCCTAAAACTGTGTTCCATTATTATGCCCACTCACCATGAGGACACAGAACTAGAGATGATGGAAACAGGAAATGGCATATCCAAGACTTGAGCCCCACCCATTTCTCTCCACACCATAAGAGAAGCTCCTGAGATGCTACCCTCAAATTCCTGGTGCTCCCTTTTCACTATGAATTTAAGTTTATTCTTTTCAAAACGACCATAAACATGTACAAATTTAAAAATCTGAAAACTCCAGCTGAAAGATTCCAATTTATTTTTACACTAATGACACAAATGAGCTTCACCATAATTAACAGGAATACCGAACATTCCCAATGCATCTTAAAATAAAGCTCAAGGAACCCCTGACTTACAAAATCCACTTCAGAAAGAAGCTGTATAATTTAGTGAAGATGCAGGCAGCCAACCATTCAACATCTCCAGTGCTTGCTGTTTGCGTCTGTTCACAAAGACCAGGAGACCCACCGAGGAAGGAAAGGAGACTTTATTTTCAGAGGGAAATACAACCTGCAGATTGGGGAATGCAGCTTACAGGAAAAACCAAAAATGCACATGCTGCAGAAGGGAGGAAGGAGCTGGTATCTGTGTCTTACAGAGTCAGCCTTACATACATACTGAGCAAGGTTGCAGAGGATCTACTAATATTTATGAGGAAATGCAGGCATCTGTGCAGTGGGTAAACGTGTATGTATCATACATTCCATGCTCACTTTGGGGTGGAGTTCTAGCATTAAAATGAGATGGAATTTGGCTCTTTACATCAACGGGTGAACTATAGGGCACAAAGACATTTTACGTGCAATTTCTGTAAGCTGGCGGAAACTGGCTTGAGGTCTGCAGCTGTTTATCAATAAAGAATGTTTATAAGACCAGTCCTTTGTCCAACTGGAGTGGTAGCAGGACCGCAAGGCATTGGCGGGGGTGTGTAGTGAGGGAGGGAATGTTTCCATTGGCTGGCATTAGGCAGTCTATCGGGGTCAGTTGGAAATTTTCCAGCTGAAGTTGTGTTGGCTATGCTTTTTCGAAGCTGGTTTGTACTTACTTAATAGCAGTTAATAATGCAAAAATACATAACTAACCACTCATCCTTCTGGCTGTGACAGTCTGGGTTTTTTTTTGTTTGCTTGTTTTTTGTTTTTTGTTTTTGAGATGGAGTCTCACACTGTCACCAGGCTTGAGTGCAGTGGCTTGATCTCGGCTCACTGCAACCTCCACTTCCCAGATTCAAGTGATTCTCCTGCCTCAGCCTCCCGAGTAGGACATTCTGTTTTTGGTGCATCTCATTTTAGGAACCAGAAGTTCATTTTGTCTGTCTGTTGGAGTAGATTTTAACAAGTCAAATAACATCACTTTTTGTTTTTTTGTTTTGTTTTTTTTTTTGATACGGAATCTCGCTCCGTCGCCCAGGCTGGGGTGCAGTGGCCGGATCTCAGCTCACTGCAAGCTCTGCCTCCTGGGTTTACGCCATTCTCCTGCCTCAGCCTCCCGAGTAGCTGGAACTACAGGCGCCCGCCACCTTGCCCAGCTAGTTTTTTTGTATTTTTTAGTAGAGACAGAGTTTCACCGTATTAGCCAGGATGGTCTCAATCTCCTGACCTCGTGATCCGCCCGTCTCGGCCTCCCAAAGTGCTGGGATTACAGGCTTGAGCCGCCGCGCTCGGCCATAACATCACTTTTTGATTTGACTAATTTTGATTTAAAGACATGAGGTACTGGCTACAAACTTCATAGGGACCCTCAGATGATCTCATGATAAATGACACCAGACGATATGTTTTGATTTACATAACTTTACAGACAACTTAAAATGACAAATAAAGACACATGTTTATTATGTAGAATGATGGGAATGATCACCACAATAACTGTAGTGGGTTGAATACTGTTCCCCAAAATTCATGTTCACCCAAACCTCAGCATGTAAACTTATTTGGAAATAGGGTCTTTACAGATGTAATCACTTGGGGGGCCTCGTGAGTAAATCATCCCGGATTTAGGGTAGGCCCTAAGTCCAATGACTGGTTGTCCTTCTAAGAGGAGAAAGACAGGGAGACACAGCAGAAAACCCTGTGAAGATGGAAATAGAAACTGGAGTGGTGCTGCCACAAGTCAAGGAATAGCAGGAGCCCCCAGAAGCTGGAAGAGTCCAAGAATTCTCCCTGAGAGCCTTCAGAGCAAACACGGACTTTCAGATAATTCGGTTTCATCCTTGTGACCTTCAGAAATGTGAGACGATCAAGTTCTACTGTTCTAAGCCCCTAAGTTCATGGTGATCTGTTACAGCATCCCTAGGAACCTCATACAGACAAATAAAGGCTATGCTTATTATGTGGCATGATGGAGATGGCCACCAGAATAGCAAAAGGCCATGGCTCTTCTCCTTCCATTGTATACACAGAAAAGAACAACCCCCTTCCAAAGCAAAAGCAAAGGCTGGGCACGATGGATTACGCCTGAAATCCCAACACTTTGGGAGGCCAAGGTGGGCAGATCACTTAAGGTCAGGAGTTCAAGGCCAGCCTGGACAACATCGCAAAACCCCATCTCTACTAAAAATACAAAAAGAATTAGCCAGGTGTTGTGACTCACACCTGTAATCCCAGCTACTCAGGAGGCTGATGCAGGAGAATCGCCTGAACCCAGGAAATGGGAAACAGAGGTTGTGGTGAGCTGAGATGGCAGCACTGCACTCCAGCCCGGGCAACAGAGTGGTATGTCTCAAAAAAAAAAACAAAGACTATTCAATTGTAACAGAAAGATTCAAGGGCAGATTTGCAGAGTGACCTTATCATGTCTACATACTGGGAAAAGCTGGTAGAAAAGAGGAGGAACCCATTCTAAGGAACCTCTACCTTTCAGTTCCTCCAGTCTTGAGCTCCAGGGTTAGATGTTCCCTCAACGGCAAACCTCTGCTCTTGTTACTGTCATGGGACCACCACCAGCCACCAAGCATCAGCCCATCTTTCCATAATGTCAAGTCTAGGGTGACATTTGTCTAATGTTTGCCTACCTGGAGATGTTGCCCCAATCATCACCACCAGCAGAAACAACCGGCACCCATCTTATATGGGTAATTCCTTACCGAAGGAGTTCTAGAAATGCACGGCACACCAAAACGCAGGGTAGGTCATGCATTTCTAGAGGAAGAAATGGCGATATGGAGAGAAAGCTTGTCCTAACCCACTTCTACCAAAGCAGGATTAAAGTCAATTTGGAAAAAAACACCGTTTCTCCTTTTATATAAAAACCAAATGCAGAAACTATAAAAAGAAATCTAATAAGCTTGACTCTACACAAATACCAAAATGCACTGTAAACAAAATTAAAGGTAACTGACAGAGGAAGTATTTGCAACGTATATCGCAAGCCAAGTTTTCAAGCATCAAAAGTTCTTACAAAACCAATTTTTACAAAGATGAATGCCAAGTTTTAAAATGAACAAAAGACAGGAAAACGCAAATCACACAATAAGGACAAATGGCACTAAAGATACAGGAAAAAGTCTATTCTTCCTACTAACAAGGAAGTGAATACAATCAAAGATGTCAATTTTTGACAATAAAATGGGCCAAAAAAAAATTGTAAGAAAAAAGAGAATTTCCAATGCGGGCCAAGGATTGGAACGTTTGCTGGAAGGCAGTTTCCCTCTACCTTTAGAAAGCCTCAAAGTGAACGTATGTTTTGGCCCTGCAACCTCACATGTAGGAATTTATCCTAAGGAAACAGTCAGGGGTGACGTCAAAGATTCATCTGCAAGGATATTCAACACGGCTTTGATACACGAAAAAAAGTAAATAAATAAAAGGAAACAATGTAAGTCTTCCTAAATGATGCCAAAGTCCTATGCTGTCATTAAAAAGCACCTATAACTCCATCATCTAGGTGATTTTGACTTTTGCTTTGGACATTTTGCCTGTACATTTCTAAATTCTCTATGCCAAATAATGCATTGTTTTGTCATCAGATTTTGTTTTACAAAAACAAACCAAAACAAAAAAACCGTCTTTATGACACGGGGTTAATAGGGAAACTGTGCTTCCCAGGCATTGACCAGGCGTCTACACCAGCTGCCTAGCAGCCTACCGGTAGGCGTCTACACCCGCCTACTGACTCAAGCCACCTAAGGCTGGCAGAGCCTTAAGAGGGCGCCAGAGCGCCAGAACGCGTGAAGCACGACAAGCTCCCTCGCTCCCGGTGCGGCCACGGGGGCAGGCAGGGTCCTGGGCGCCGAACAGGGGCGGCAGGAGCCTCGTTTACAGACGTCTACACAAGCAACTCACTTCCCCGAACCGAAGAAAAACGCGAGGCCACACAGACCGCTAGGCCAAACACGCCCCTCCCGGCCGCGGCGTCCGCTCCCCGAGTGCGCATGCGCGCGCCCAGCCCCCTCAGGCCTGCGCTTCCCAGCAGGCCTCGCGCACGGGTTTCCATGGCGACGGGCCGCCGCTGCGGCCTTGCTGCAGTCGCAGGAACCGCGCGGAACAGGTAACGGCCCAACTGCCGCCATCGTCCGCCGCAGCCGGTTGCCCTGTTACTGCCCCAACGCTGGTCCCGTCCGGATCCGCCTGTTACGCTCTTTCTGGGCTTCCGGTATGGCCGGTCACTCCGTCCTCGCCCCTGCCTGCCTCGCTGGCGCCCGGCCGTTTCCTCCTCGCAGCGCAGTCTGGCAAGGAACAGCTACTCCGGCTCGGCAGTGGCCAGGCGCCCCGGCGACACACGTACTCTCAGGCCTGCTGGGCAGGGGGACGCCTGGGCCGAGGTGACCGAGCGCGCCCGGGGCCGCGCCTGGGTCCGGCAAGGGGGCAGAGGCCGATCTCACCGCCGCCCCACCGAGGGACTTTTGGGTTTTTCTATCTGAATCTTCTATCTGACCTCCGATTTTGCCTTTGCTTACTTGCTGTTTTGCTTGGGATTCGTTTTTCTTTAAAACCTGAGCGCTGGCATCTCCCTATGTCGCAGGAATCTAAATCTTTTGAAATGTCTTCTCTGTGTATGTCCCCCACTCGCCCAGTCTCGGGACTCTTTATCCACACCCTTTCCTCAGCGTGTTAACATCTCGTTGCCACACTGAAGCCAATGGTTAAGTTTTTTCAGAGCCCAGTTTTTTTCACGGCTGAATGTGAGCTTGAGCCTTTTTGCTCAATCCCTAGATGAACTCATCCAGTCTCCTGTACTCAGAGCCTATCTGAATGCCAGTGAGCCCCAAGTGTGCATTCCCAGCCCTCGCCCCTCCCCTGAACACCAGACCCCTGCATTCAGCTGCCTGCCACATCTCTACTTGGATGTCTACGGCATCTCAAACGCAGCTTATCCAAAATAGCTCTCAATAATTCCCCAAGCCAAGACTGTCCTCCCACAATCTTAACCCGTCATAGTTGCTGGGAATTCCATCCTCCAGTTGCCCGAGCCTTGTATCCTGCTTGAGTCCTGTTTTTCTCTTCCTCACCTTCAGTCTGTCAGCACTGCCTTCAAAATGCACCCGAATAGATTCACAATTCTACCATTTCTCTCAACCCCCACTGTCACCACCTTGGTCCAGGCCCCCATCATCTGGTGCCTGGATTACTTTACTTGCTTCCTAATTGGTTTCCCTGAGTCTGCCCCTCCCCTACTTGAGCATGACAGCCTTAATGCTATTTCCCGTTCTCTGTTATTTCGTATGAATAAGTTTTTTAAAGGATTATGTAAATTACAATTTCCTTATATAAATTACAATTTCCGTAGTTAAAAGTGCAATAGTTTCAGTATGTATTTTGCACATTGCAACTTTTAAACCGGGTAAACAAGTCTACATAAGCATCATGCTAACAAGCTGACAATGTAAACATGCCCCTTAGCTGTGTTAGGTATAAATATCACAGTGCCCCTGGAACAGAACTATGGCCAGAGCTTTACAAGGGACTGTCCTGAAGAACAAAAGAATCCAGAGCCTTCTTCCCAGTGCAAAGACAGGAATCATGTAGGAGTTTAAGCTCTTCCTTTTTTTATTTTTTAGAGAAGCACCAAAAGAGGCAAACTGAGATGCAGACAAATGATCATCCGTATGCTGATCATTTTGATAGTAAGTACCTGGGTGCTGATATGGCAATCAATGTGACAGGTCCCTGCCCTCAAGGAGCTAAGGTCCTTACATACCTGTACCCTTGCCAATCTCTCTCTCTTTTTTTTCATTTTTTTGAGATATTATCTCACTCTGTCGGCCAGGCTGAAGTGCAGTGGCATCATCTCGGCTCACTTCATCCTCCATCTCCCGGGCTCAAGCAATTCTCCTGCCTCGGCCTCCTGAGTAGCTGGGATTACAGGTGTGCACCACCACACCCAGCTAATTTTTGTATTTTTAGTAGAGATGGGGTTTCACCATGTTGGCCAAGCTGGTCTCAAACTCCTGACCTCAGGTAATCCGCCCGCCTCGGCCTTCCAAAGTGCTGGGATTACAGGCATGAGCCACCACGCCTGGCCCTACCCTTGCCACTCTCTTAAACCCTATCTTTTCTCTTTTGCCATCAGGTAAAACCCCAATTAACCAAAGTAACAGAGTAGGATTGCCACAGTTAGCTGAGGGTCTATAGGAGATTGCATTTCATAAATGACCACTTTACTCAGATTTGATCTCCCACCACACCCTTGTGCTGTCACTTCATAGAGAAACTTGAAGCTGTCACATGGGAATCTCCTCATACTTCAGCTGCCAAAACTGCAAGCCTTACTTATATCTGTTCCTACCTTCCTTCCTCCTAACCAAAGCCACTCCCTCTCTGTGCTTTGGATCCCATCCCTTTCCACTCGCCAAAAACTACACTGTCAGGTATGCATTCCCTCTCCCATATGATCACCTATTCCATCTCAGCTGGCTCTGCCATGGTTTTGAAGCATGTTGAAGTTTCCCATCACAAAAGAGAAAAAAAGAATCTCCTATGACCCCACATTCCCCTTCAGTTTCCAGTTATTGTCCAATCCCTTATCCCTTTCGACAGGCAAACTTTAAAGAACTGCCTTATTCAATACCTCTATTATTTGTCTCTCACTCCTCAGCCAGCCTGGCTTCCCTCTTCATCTCTGCTAAAACAAAAACTGGGAATGAGACATTTCCAGGCCTCGTCTTGCTCAGTCTCTCAGCAGCATTTGAAACTGCTGCCCCCATTTCACTCTACAAACACTGTCTGCCCTTGGCTTCTGTGACCACCCCTGTCTCTCCTGCTCTTCCTGCTGCCATTCTGGCTCACCCTCCTCTCCCAGGCTCCTTAATATTGGAGATCCTCAAAGCTCGGCCTCTGTTCCCATTTTGTTCTCCATTGCACCCCTTCATCTAGCACAGGGCACAGATTCACACGCACAGCTTTAAGTTCCAGCTGTGTGCTCTTGACTCCCACCTTTCTCCAACTTGACCTTTTCTCAGCTAGACTCGTACATTCAGCTAGCTGCGTGACAGTGTTTCTCAATATCATTCAGTCTCCTCCAATTCAACATGCACAAGACCAAACAACCCCACTTCCCAACCCCAACTGGGACCTCTTCCATTGTACCCAGGATTCCTCCTTGACCCTTACCCCACACCCCAACACCCAGTGAATCCTTAAGCCCAGGTGAGGTTTTCTCCTGGGCATCTTTCACATCTCTTCATTGTCATGGATGCCTAAGTCCAAACTACCACCTTCATTCAGCCTGCTGCAGTCCTGTACCAGCTGGTCTCCCCACATCTCTGGCTTTTCTCGATTCTTCACCACCCTGCAGCCAGAGTAACCTCTTCAGAAGGCAGAGCTGATTATGCCATCCCTCCCCACCTCCCTCTTTTGCTTACCGCCAGCTTCCCATTGCCCTTGGATTAATGATCCACATCATAGGCACGCCTTCCCAAGGACCTACAGCTGCTCACCCCCGCCTGCTTCTCAAGACTCATCTGAAACCGCTGGCCCTCCTCACTGGGCTTCAGCGACATGGGCCTCCTCCACCCACCAGGCCTTGGCATTCTTTTCTCTCTGTCTGCATGGTTTTTCCTTCCTCCCTCTCATCCTCTCTTGCCTAGCTAGTTCCCACTGACCCTTCCTATCTCAACTCAGACATCCCTTCTACAGGGATAACTTCCCCGATCGCTGTCAGGATCAGTTTCATCTTCACAGAGTTGTATCTCCTTCCTTGAAGACACTCGGGACAGTCACTATTATGATTAGTTCATTACTGACATAAGTCCCACAAAAACAGAAACATTTGCTGTTTGTGTTCATCATTGTATCTCCACACCCCACATAGTGCCTGACACATAGTAAGCACGCAAATGGGTGCTGAAAGAATGAATGAAATGAACATTCTAATGTGTAAGAGATACTAAGTGCCGTGTGTTTTAGAACAATTCTATTAAAATAGAATGAAACTCCTAGTAAAAAATAATCAGGCAAACACTGAAAATTAAAAAGAATGTTGTGGCAGGGTAGCTAAAAACGGGTACTTGGGTAAGATTTGTAGCCCTTTACTCAGTGTGGTACATTACATTTGCCACCACTTGGTGGAAGTAGAGAGGCATGGGTTCTTACCCTGAAGTGACTGGGATGTCAGTCTGCTAGTGAATTCAAACATTTGTTCTAAAATATATAAAGTTGTTAAATTACCAAAACCTGCATAGCATAGCTAGTCTGTAACCATCCAGACTTTGAACGTGGCACATTTTCATGTTATCAAATAAACTTGAAATTTCTGATATATATAGGTATATTTCATTTATGAAATTTAGTGCTAGATGTCACTGAGAAATCAGCCAATTTCTTGCCTTAGACATTTGAGGCCTACTAGCTAGTTGTATTGGCAGAACTGGGAACATACCTTTTTTCTTCCAGAGTATACTGCCTCTCAATCAGTGTTTTGTTCGTCGGTTTTTTCGGTTTTGAAACTGGGTCCCACTCTGTCCCTCAGGCTGGAATGTGGTTGTGCAATCACAGCTCACTCCATCACTGCAGCCTTGACTTCCTGGGCTCAGCCTCCTGAGTAGCTGAGACTGTCACACTGGCTAATTCTTTTTTTAGGAATGGGGTCTCACCATGTTGCCCAGGCTGGTCTCAAACTCCTGGGCCCAAGTGATCCACCTGCCTCAGCCTCCCAAAGTGCTGGGATTACAGGTGTGAGCCACCACACCAGGCCAATCAGTGTTAAGAATCATAACCTCCCTTTGTCAATGTTTAGAGTGACTTGCATAATTTCTGAAGCAAAAAATTGGGACACATAATCTTAAAAGATAAAGTGTTTGAAATAATGTTCTTGAAAACCATAAGATATTGATTATCCTAGCTATATAATACCACATTTATAAGCCTAGGGAAGAGCTTTTCTATTCATTTAATATTTTTGTCAAAGAGTTTAGAGTTCAGGCTTTTCATTCAGTAAGAAGACCTGAACTTGGGTCTGGCTGATGTTTTTTCTATCCAGACAGGCTGTGCTTGTGGCAGGAAGGCCACAGAAATGGTGCTGTTATCTTCACAAGTGCCCATGGTCACTAG